ATTGAATTCTACGAACCTGTACAAAAATATTCAATACTTTTACTCTAAACGTTCGTTGGTATTTTAATAGTACTAGGAAATTAGTAATTTTCATTGGATAGAAAATAAAACGCTCTTGAAAACAAATTTTCTTTCAAGTCGATACCGTAATTAATGCCAGAGAAAACAATTATTTACGAAAAAATGGCATAGTAATTATGCAAACACCCTGTATATTTCCAATTAAATAAACAATTATGATCCACTTTTATCGCACACCAGTCGTATAATCAATAGGAATTGTTGAAACTTTTTTAGATATATAGCGTCAAAGTAAATTTCAAAATGAACATAGAAGATAGCAAAAATGATAGTAGCTGGTATAGTCGTTGGATAGAGGATGAAATGCCCTTTAAAACGAGCGTTCGAACGAGTTGATAGCTCAATTAATTCCGGAGATATAGCGATTTTAGTTTCAAGTCGATGCGGTGGCTAGTTCCGGAGATATAAGGGTCCAAAGTGGTTGTTTACTTTTTTACTACGGACTTGTCAAGGTCGTTGACCGCTCGTACTCGTAGTAACTAGGTCGCTGGGCCACGATAGTGACGCGTCACGTACGAAACAGAGAGGTCCAGCGCGACGCGTCAGACGGAGACAGAGATAGTCGAATTAAAAAAATTACTATTTACATAAATTGCAGTATCTCGAAAACGGAAAGTCGAATCGACATAATTCAAAAGCCATTTTAAAGGGAAAGGTTGACCGCTTCCAATGATGGCTTAATAATGCATAAAACACTAATAGTTTCGGAACTGCACGCGTCTAAAGTTTAACTATCTTTAATACGCGTTGTTAGACTGTTTTAAGACAGTGGAAACTGAAGATTCTCTCTTTTCGTCTTTGCTATACAATGTATTTCCTATTTACATAGGAAGCTAACCAGAATTTGGTACCGAATTTTGTTCAGTTTTTTAGAACAAAATATAAATCATTCAACCGGTCAGATGACCAGTCGTAGGCAAGACAGACTATATATTTTTCTCAGAATACAATCAATAAAGATAGAAGTGAATATTGTAAAATTCATTGTACGTATACTATAAGAAAAGTCGTGAAGTTAAATGGCGCTAAAATAATATTGCGTGTTAGAAATTCTAAACAAAATTTAAAAAATGGTCATTTGACCGGGAAAAACGAGGTTCATACTAATGTATTTATCTTATATAAATTCTTTTTTTTTTTTATTTTTAAAAACCTCAGATAAAGTTCATATACATCGTATACAGTGGTATGTATGTTTACATGTACATTATATCCCCTTAAAGGAATGAAATACTTTCAATTATATTTCAATGGCAGTAGCAGACTTTGGTACTATTGGGGTAAACACAGAAGAGAATTTATTGTCACAATAAACCGTATTAGGCCTGGGCACTATAATCTTATATGTATAAATTGAATTGTCTTATGAAAATGAATATTCATAAATTTTGCTTCTTATTTAAAAAATATGATTTCATACTAGTGTATTTATCTTATATAAATTGAATTATCTTATGAAAATGACTATTCATAAATTTTGCTTCTCATTTGAAAAGTATAAGGTTTGATTTTTACTAGAATTGTATAAAAAAAATGCACCTAAGGAATCAGTGAAAATGAAGGTTAATGGTTTCTTACTACCGAAACAAAAAGGTGAAAGAACAGCAAATATATCATATTATACATGCAAGTATATATAAAAATAGTTCAAAGAATCTCATAAAAGAGAATACGAATCCTCTCTTCTCGTATTGCATATCGTAGATCCCGAACGAAGAAATAAAACTATGAAACAACTTCTGCGCGGCACGCTGACATAAAATCGTTGTTTCGTCGTACCTAAAGAAGCAAATGGAAAGGAAAAAAGTAAGAACGAGAGAGGAAGCTACGAAACACTAACTGGAAAAATTGATTTATTTCCTATAGTTTGAGATACACTTCGGGTACATGGAACTACGAGGACGAAATTAGATTTCACGGTAGAGGGAATTTCTGGGTCGCGGAAAGGTATCGGAATAAATTTTCAAGTAATTTATTGATACTTCGCCGGGACATTGTAGTGGAAGAGGCAGAGAGACGCGGTAGGGGGAGGACCGAAGTAAGTAATATAAGGATATTAAGATGATAGAGGTAAGGTATAGCAAGATAAGCGAGAAAAACGAAAAAAGAATGCGGAGAAGCCGGGGGTCCACGAGTTGTAGGCTGCCAGAAACAAAATACGATCTTGGATAATGCATCGTAACGAGATCAGCCGTGGCCGTTGCTCTTGTGGAAAAGTGGATCCACGAACTAGCCTCAGCGCTGATAAGATTTACCTTCCCGTGGCTCGATCATCCGAAATTATCAAAGGAAAGGAAATTTCTGGGTCGACCATGAGATGCCGTAAAAAGATAACGTGAAACGCTCGGATACTCGCAGACGCGAGAAAAGGCGCGAGAAGGGGTGGGGCTGGATAGCTTGTTCAAGGATTTTCGCTCGACAGTATACAGCTGCAGTTCTTGTCCTGAACCCCCGTCACCCTCTTCTTCGCGATTTCAAGCCTTCCACCTTGCCACTCGTTGTTTCATACGCTGGATCTTTTCACGCTCGCCTCGAGCGATTCGCGCAAGGAAATCCGGAATTTCCAGTCAGGGTGAGCGACTTTTGATTTTTGACTGCTCAAGAAATATTTCCCTAATTGCGTTCGCGAGCGCTGGATCGTCTATAGAATCTCTGAGAATGCTATACTATGTATGGGACAGATTCTTAACAATCTGTAGATTTCATTCCGAAATCGCATTTTTCAATTTATATTCTGTTTAGAGTTGCCAGTAGTAGTTGACATAAATATTTAAGAATCTCAATTTTATTATTTTGCGTCTGCAAAGTTTACGATCATGAGTGGCTGTCTTTATTGATATGATTAATTTTACAAACACGTTTAATATTTGTTAAGAATAACTGAAAGTCGATAAGGTAGTATCTATGTTAATATGTACGCAGGTAAACAGATGCGTAACATCTATTGTCTTGAGACAAATGTGTCCACTATCGATGTATGTACATATGTATATAAATATGGACTGCGCTGTGAGGATTGTTCCAGAAGAAAAGTGTGAGCCGTTGTCGAAGTGATAAAGTAATCTGTAACAATCTGTTAGTCATCTAAAATAACACTCTAATATAAAATTAACAATATCAATATCATTAGAAACTGAAACTTGAATCTCAAAGAAATAGTTTGCATGGATTCAAATGGACCTAGAGTCCACTGTGCGAGAATTAAAGCACACGTTATTCAAATATTGTAATATTTATTCAAATGCCTCTATTAAAACAAGTGACATTATTTAAATATTTATGTCAAGTCGTTTGACACAATTAATTACGTCGTGGGGTCATGTGGCAGAGTGATTTATGGTGTAATATCATCCCCCTCCCCCCCCCCACTCTCCTATTCTCTACGTCACTACGTTTCAGGCGCGAATGCTTCCGATTGGTTGAGTAGGAACCAACTTCGTTTTTCCAATCGGAAGCCTTTGTGCCCGCGACGCCGAAACAATGCGCCGAAACGTGCGCCATCCAAACATTCCATTGTCCCTCGAAATTTTGCGTATCTCAGTCACGTTTCAGTCTTTCGTTTAAATTTCTAGTGCTCGCACGCGTATCGAGTTCTCCGACGCTTTGCCGTTTCTTGGCATAAACATAAAATATTTCCAAATCTGAATTGAAACTAGTCGATAATTGCAATAATTTTTCAGTGATAATTTAAAACACTACTGTTAAATTATTCCTAATAGAGTAAATGTCCTATACGTATTCCAATGTCGAAGTTCCTCGTTTAAAATAAAATAATACATGCGTGTTTTATATTATTAAGGTGAATTTACTGTACGCGATTCTAGAATTGTGGAAATTGGCCTCACGGTTACTATTTTTTTTTTCTTCTGTATGGCTTCCTCATTACTCATGTGTTTGTTTGGCGCTCTTTGATAAATCTTCTTGTGTAGTGTATTTTTCTGATTTTCCACGTAGCGTTTTAACATATAGAATGTTCGACCACCCTGGGAAAAATTTTAATGGGAGATTCTGGAGACCAAAATAAGACGAAAATCAAGAATACCAATTTGTTGATTAAAACTTCGTTAAAAAGTTATTAATCTTTAAAGTTCCGCCTGTAGAACGACAATCAGCGAACAGCTGCGTACGCTTGATAGTGGTTCTCACTCACAAAACTGTAAGGCTGTCGATACGTCAGTAAGTAGAGTTTCTCATGCTGAGTGAGAACCACTATCCCGTGCACGCAGCTGTTCGCAGACTACCATTCTACAGGCGGAATTTTAAACGTTAATAACTTTTTAACGAAGCCTCATTCAACAAATTGGTATTCTTGATATTCGTCTTATTTTGGCCTCTAAAATGTACTATTAAAATTTTTCCCAGTTGTGACCATTCACCCTTCATATCGAATCTTATAGTAGTTATTTTAAAGTGTTTAATCTGTAAATCAGTTTAACTTGTTCACTGCCAGATCAAAACCATATAATATTCTACAAAAGTAAAATTTTGATTTTAGACCATTGTAATCTACATAAGTTACAATTTATTTCAGTACTTATTTTCGTAACCTTGTTAAAATACACAAATTCCATCCAATTTCCCTCAACATCTTAACTCGAGAATTAATTTATCTAGTATCCAGGAAATTCAGCTTAGGAATCGTAGGACTCCTCCGGATCCAACAATCCAAAGATTAACCTTTTGAAGTGTCTTCGTATACGTGTAAGAGCAGCATTATAATATATCGTGGAAAATTGCACGTGTATTGGTTCGACTGGTGAACGTGTTAGTACGAATTGGCAATAGATATTTAGTCTCGATGCGTCATATTCGAAGTTCGTTTTCGCAGATACGGTCGTTACGTGTTCGCCTGTCGCGGAGCGCGAACTATGTCTCGGAAATTAGATTCCAAGTGACGGTTTGATCTTGTTTTGTCACAGAGGTTGCAGTGGTCCAGCACGGGGGCACATCGTGAACTTTGTTATCTGAAAGGACGCAGCGAGGACGAGTGTCAAAATTACGTACGAGTATTCGGCAGACAAGGGCCTGATCAATTTCTCGTTTGCGGAACGAACGCGTACAAGCCGCAGTGCAGACAATTCACCATCAAGGTAAGCGCTTTAGATTCTTTTTAACCACCGGGTACACCAAGGCTGTTCGATAAGTAGCCCTTTGTCCCGAGCCGCGTGGTTACAGTCACTTCATTATTTGGGTGACACGGTATCTGCGAACCTATCGCTTCACAAATTGCTGCTCTTTGTTGCTTTGCAACCCTTTGAGCATAAAGCACCGCTACGGAGAACGGTCCGTGTGACCGGAACTTTTTACCCCGTCAAACATAAGGTGTATCGATTAATTACGCAATGTCAAACCCAGTGTACGATTTTCATAACGTTTATTTTAACATTTAATTAACTGGACCATGCCGAGGTAGGCATAAAAAGGCCAACGAACGTCATTAACAGTTAAAATAGAGTTAAATTCAATATCATTTTGGCGATATTTTCGAGATTTTATTTTTCTATCTTTATCTTATTATTACGTAAAGGAAGAATAAAATATTGCAAAATGATATCTAAGAAAATCTTTATCAGTTTTAATTTTTATTTAAAAATTAAAAATCCTACATTTTTAGAATTTTTTGTTAATATTTTACATTGATCATAAAACTGATAAAGATTTTCTTAAATATCATTTTGCGATATTTTCGAGATTTTATTTTTCCTGATTATTTTATATCTATTATAAAAGTTTATATAGAAAAATGTATATTATCTAATATAAATTTATATCTATTATAAAACTGATAAAGATTTTCTTAAATTTCCTTTTTGCGATATTTTCGAGATTTCTCCTTTACGTAAGAATAAATATAAAACTGGTAAAGATTTTTTTATTACCGTTAAATTGTCTATATCTGATTTTACTTCGTGAAATAAAATGCTTATAATTTCATGATTCTTCCTTTAAATGTACAATTTAAAGCAGCTCGATATTTACATAATACTCGCCGTAACATGTTGCCCGATCTAAAATAAAAATTTCGCGACGCGAAAGTCGGGAACCAACGGTCCTGCTGTCATTCACGATGCTCGAAATAATTAATCAGGTTGCTGTAGCAACTCGTAGCCAGCGAAACAGTGGCTGTTGTTCGAAAATCTTTTGTCGGTGCATGGATACTTAATAAGCGCATGTTTCAACTAAAGCGTACGAGAATTTGACTTTGCGGGGCCGCCATTTCGCTTGTTTATTTAATAACCGCGCGGCTCTGTCGCGCGAAACTAAACAGCCGAGGAAAGGATACAGGTTTAGAAACAGTAATCGGTACAAAGCAGAGGGCAAACTTCACAGTAAATAACATAGAGAAACGTAGAATTTGCGGCTGATTTATTGCTCGATGCTAAATATTGGTGCAACTAACAGGACGTGTAATACGATTAAACCACGATAGTAATAAGCGAGAACGATACGAGAACTATAATCGGGTTCTCGTCAGTTGCGTCTAATGCTATTACGGAATGTTTTATCGGTTCACATAACAGGGATGAAATTGTTCGAAAACCGATTCGACGGGTATTAGCTTAATGAACCGTAGACTGCAACATTTCCAGCACGCTTCCGCGATATATATATCAAAATTATCAACACGAAAACAGTAATCGTTGTTTGTTGAATATTTATTTGCTAAATAGATGACAGAGTTTCGACCTAAGTATGTATCTAATTAATGTAGTTTTACAAAACGAAAATGCTGTTCTTAGCTTGACGGTTTTCTGCTAACTGAGCTTAAGGCTCGAAAAATAAAAATGAGACGCTCAGGGGGTGTGATAAACGAGTGTCCTTCCAGGTAGTATAGTCCGGGTCATAATATAGCGAGGTCGTAAACTAAACTCTTGAGGGTTAGGACCGATTCCTGCTGCGGCACTTGGGGCCGTACATGACATCTTGCTTGAGGGTGCCTTTCTGAATGCCTTTCTATGTCTGTAACTGCACTATCTTTTTTCATTTTCTACATGCATATATTATAAGCAGGTAAATTAAGATATTAAAGACTTGAGTAAGACCTTTACCTGTTACGATACCTCTAAAAATAGCTTTCTAAAAATGGCGACACTAGATAAAACATTTCTTCGTACGGCCCTGACTATGGTCTAAGGCCCTCAGCTGCTCCTATTTCTGCCAATTCACTTGTTTCGAGAGCTGAAACGTGTAAACTTTGACACCTACTCGAGTTTACGACCTCGCTATATTGTGGCCCGTACTATACTGACCTTTGCAAGGGAGGGGACGCAGCACCAATGGATACAAATTTCATTAAAAATGCATGCAATGCTTATTCTCAACATTGTTCCAAAATTTTTATTACACTCACATTATTTCAAATTTTTATTTTTTTTTAACAAAATACACCTTGGTTTTGATTGGGAGTTTTGTGCAAAAATGTGCTAATACATTTCGATAATTTTTTGAGTGTGAATTGTATTGATTGGTAAATTTCATACACAATGATTTTCCCTTACGAAACTTTCGCAAACAGCCGCGAGTAATCGTCGTGGAATTAACGGTCTCGGGACAGACTCCGCGCTTTTGACGAAGGGTTTCGTAAGCTGTAAACTTTATAACTTTTGAAGCCGTGGCTGCAGTCACATAAGAGATCGCTGGTTATAAGCTGTGACGCTCGAAAACTATTTTCGTCAGCTGTTATCGTGAAACGGTTAAAATAGTTGGTGATATTTCACACAGCAACGGGGCCGGTGTTCGTAAATTATTGCTAATATCATTTTTCGGATTTCTCTCGTTTAATGGAACTTTTAACACGTTCGTTGCTCGCTACGTTCACTACCAAGGGAAAGTTTCCGACCGCTCGGATAAATGTCTCGGTAATCGGACGCTTAAAGAGAAATTCAATCGTCGTTGTCACGAAACTTCATTAAAGATTTGTTATTTTTACGAGGGGGAAAGTTATGCTTTCTAGTCGTTTTGATTGTCTTCTATGGAGGGTGTCTGGTTGCGTGTGGGAAGTATAGATTCTACCTAGCAAGAAAAATAGCTCGTTCTGCGTTGGAACAATATTTTTTGCTTAAAACATACGTAAAACGGTATCGAATATTCTCTGTTTCTCTACAAAATTTGTGACCCGTAAGATCAGACTACTTTGTAAAGAATATTTTGTATTGCATTATGTTCAACTTTGTTTTATTTCATTATTTTCTTTCTTATTTTCTATTGTGTACTTTTATTTTCAGTTTCTTAGTATTAACAAGGTAAGATTAATAACAGGTAAACATAATATGCCTTTGTTTTCTTAACATCTGCAAGTTTGATATGATAAAAACTTGTTGCATACAACACAATTGTAAGTTTATAGTTTTGTCCCAACATATGCATGGATACAAAACTCCGTGATTAAGTTCGCTGAAAGCCACAGAAATGTCGATAGCCAAAGTCGGAGGAGGACTCCTTTCTTCGTTTTTAATGAAATTTATCGGGCTATACGGGGCGCCGTGTTAATATTATTTGTTGCGTCGAATTTCTCGCTCCGTAGCATCCGGGGTATCCGTTAAGACCAAAGTCCCTTTAGATTTTCAAAAGAAACTTTCAAACACGGAGTTTCGAAGAAGCACAGAGAACGCGTTCGGAAAAAGCACGCTTCGGCTCGTAATACACCTTTCCTCTCGCGTTTACTCCAACGGATCGTTCCCTCCTTTTTTCTCTTTGTGCTCGCTTGGCAAAGCTGTGCAGCCCCGCCGCTCGAAGGCACTATTTTTAATCAGGGAAAAAAATAAAAGGGAAATTAACGTTGATTTCGCCGATGGGCGGAACAACTTGTAGCGAACCGTCTTCCTTGCCTCCCCCTTCTTTTAAATCTATCGGCCATACGTGTTGTACGGTCTCTTTCGAGCACCTGAAAACTTTGCACGCAAAACTATGGGAACACGTTTCACCCAAATAACTTCTGAACGCAAAATCGTTCAAGAAATTTCGTCTTAATGCATTTTATTATTTAAAGATGATACCACTTGTTGATTTTTGTGGGATGTATTTGTAATGTTCTGAATAACTGAAAGTATCAATTTTGAAACAGATACATACAAGTGTCGCTGGGCTCAGATAAGAAACTCGAATCGTCGCATACACGATGTGTTCGGCCAACCCTGGGAAAAATTTTAACAAAAGATTCTAGAGGCCAAAATAAGACGAAAATCAAGAATACCAATTTGTTGATTGAGGCTTCGTTAAAAAATTATTAACGTTTTAAGCTCCGTTCATACTGAATTTTTTTCTCGAAAATGCGCAGGATTTCGGGAGTATGCCTATTCACCAAAAATGGTTATAATTGACGCCTGCAACTGAAAATAATTTTTTTAGAACGATTTGAAAAATTTTTCTTTCGTCGAAAAATTTCAGCACCTATTCGAATTTTTATCTCGATAGTGTGTAGGAATTCGAGAGTATGTCTATTCACCAAAAATGCTTCTAATTGACCCCCACAACCAAAAATAATTTTTTCAGAATGATTTGAAATTTTTTAAATTAATTTTTTTATTACTTTTTAAAGAAGCCTCAGCCAAGAAATTGATATTCTTGATTTTCGTGTTATTTTGGAGTACGGTATTATTTTCGAAAACTATTCTAATTAGAAAAAAATGAAGAAGAAGAAAGTTTTACAGTTTCGTATATATATAAATTTTACATATTTACATTATTTTTCGAGAGATGTTCTTCGATTTTTTAAATGGAATGGAATATACTTTTTTGTTGTCTGAGAGGTTATTGTAGTTTCTTGGAAAATAATATAAATATGCAAAATTGATGTACATTGTTCTATTAGTCATAAGAAACTGTAAAAATTTTTTGTAATTAATGGTTTTCGAAAAATTTGTTGGCTAGTAATAGCGTACCTTATACATATACCTACGCTTTTCTCATCTGAGCCAAATGTTTATGCATTTATGGGAAATTTTAATTCTAAAAAAACTACGTAATGCACTTAATATGCAAATATATAAGAAATACTTGAAGTAAAATACGAATTATTATATTTAGAGGTTGAATCAACCCCCTATAAAGCTTCCATTTCATTAATTCTATTAATAAAAATATGGATGTT